AGCAAGAGGGAAGGAAGTTAGGCTTCATGGAGAAAGAAGTTGAAATTAATGGCAAAAATGAGGTTTATCTGTGTAATCTGTGGACGTGGTGTCTTCCCATCTCCTATTAGCATAGATAACGGAGTTGTCTGTGAAATGATAAAGGGAAGCCCTCGGCAGCTTCCCATAAATCTCCACCACTTGTCGCTGGCTTCCCTGGCTTGGATTCTAAGAACACTTCATTCTTCCCAGGTCAGCTGCCATCTTTTCCTCCATCTGCTCCCCTCCAGATACCTGCAAGACTCCTACACCTGAGCCCAACCTGTTCCCACATTCCCTGCGTCCCTCTGTGTTCCAGCCTCACGCTACCAGCATCTCAAGAGAAGAGCAAACTCTTATAGTCACGGCAAGATCTTACTGGCCCCAGAATAGTTTTCGAATTGGGAGCATTTCACAAGTTTACCTACATCAAATCAAAACATCTGGGAACATGAAAACACAGACAAATGCCCAAAGTAATTCATGTAGGCTTCCAAAAGACCCAAATAAGGATCTATTGAGGACTGTCTTTTCTCAGTGATCAGATAAAATAACTTATAGATCATTTTAAAAATTATTTTTTAGACCTCCCAGTCCCCAGAAAGAACGCTGGGAACGCTTCCTAGCCACAGGCCTGAAACTGCCTACGTATTTTTCTCTAGCACTTGATAAAACTTATCAATGACTACACAGTAACTGCACTCCATTAAAAACATGGATAACATAGAAATTGGTTTTTAAAAAGTCATTAGCTTTATAAAATTATGATGACATAGTTTACTCCAAAAACGAAATTTCTGATACAATATATCTTTTCAGTTCATCACTGATTAGTTAAGAATCCTAGTTAATTATAATAATAAAGTTTTCTAGAACTAGCTTCATTAATAAATGATGATGATAATCATAATAACGTTAAAAAAAAGAATAAAGTCAAACATCTGTTAACGGCTAGCTATGTGCTAAGCCCTTTTGTATTATCTCAGTTAATCCTTAGAACAGCCCTGTTATTATCTCCATTTTATATAGTTCAGCACACCTATGAGCCATACAAACTCTGCTCCTTATTTATGAATTGACATTCTCAAAAAAAAAAAAGTTGAGGTGAGGCAATTAGAAAAGGGGAACATCTTTCTAAATCACAGAGCTTTTTCCCAATTAGCTGGAAAAAAGTCTTCAGATAAATCTATGAAGCTAGAGAAAATTATTTTAAAAGGTTAGCTAGATGAATGGCCTTCCTTGGAATTTTCTATCATAAATGCATTTCCCATCTTAGATTAGGCTAATAAGGTTTGTGGGACCCCTCCTCTTAGGAAATCTCAGGTCTGATTGACCCCACTGACTGAAGTCAACTCGGTCTCCACCGTGGGGAACACATCACCCTGGGTTTCGGACTCAGACCTTCAGTTTTCTCAGAGTCCTATAGGCCACACGCCATTCACAAACGATGTGCAGCAGAATATGTTTGTGTATGAGATGCAGTGATTTCTGCCACCAAGAAGTTATAAATTGAGAAAATAAACCCAATATGTAATAGTTTAAGATATTTTTAATGTGAAGGCTTGATTTTTTTTTTAAGTATCTTTAAAAACAGCCTGACAGGTATGACAACATCCCAAATGTAGGTACATTCAATAGAAAAACTTAGGTTCAGAGGTCAAAGGGACCTTAAAGGACTTTCAATTCCACTCCCTTACTTTACAAGTGAAAGAATAGGCTCAGAAGAGGGAAATGACATTCCCAAGGTCATATGTGAGAATTTAGGAAGTTGACCCAGAGTGCTCTCTCCCCCTCCTTCCACCACGCCAGGCTGCCCTGGATATAACCCCATATGACCATATCCAAGCATGAAATTTGCAAAACCTTCTGAACTCAGGTGATGATTTGGCAAAGTTCAAAAGTATTTGCCCAATTCCTCCAGACTGTAATTTTAGCTAACTTTGGATGAAATAATAACATGGATGTGAAGACTTCATTTCAGAGATTTCAAAGCATTTAGTTAACATTTCATACTGAAATGGGCAGAGAATTGAAGCAGAAAAGATTGAGGAATGGAGAGGGAACTATATTACAATAATCTGATTATTCAACAAGTCTGCAAGTCCTTCCTGCGTCTTCTGAAGCTGTGGCCAGATAGAGGCAGAAGGTAAAATGATTCTTTTTTTCCCATTTTCAGCCTAACTTCCATCCCTGAGCTTAGTCTATAAAAAATATCACATCACAACAATGTTCACAGCAACATTATCCATTACAGCCAAAAGGTGGAAACAGGCCAAATGTCCAACAACAGATGGATAAACAAAATATGGTATATACATACAATGGAATATTATTCAGCCATAAAAAGGAATGAAACGAAAATATTATGCTAAGTGAAATAGGCCAGACAAAAAGGAACAAATATTGCATGGTGTATGTATATAGTATCTAGAAAAGGCAACTTCATAGAGCCAGAAAATAGAATAGACTCACCAGGCCTGAGGAGAGGGGGGAATGGGGAGTTTTTGTATAATAGACACAGGGTTCCTAGTTGGGATGATGAAAAAGTTTGGGAAATGGTTAGTGATGATGGTTGTATAACGTTGTGAATGTACTTAGTACCACTGAATTGTACACTTTAAAATGGTTAAAATGGTAAATTTTATGTTATGTTTATTTTACCACAATAAAAAAAATCACATCAAAATCTCGATCATATCCCTTCATTTCTCAATTGGAATTCCTAAACTCTATTTTCGTCAGTCACTGCTATCAAAGCTCAAATTTCTCCTCCAGACCTGCCTACCACCAACAGCATCAAGACCAATGTATGTATGTTCACACACATGGATGAACACAATCACACCCAGGCCAATTTGTGACCTGCAGAGACCCATCCACAAACACGTCTCCATCGAGACCTCCCACATGATGGCTGCAACAAGAAGGCCTGTGGGGAGACTAACACAACCAGTGCTTCTGGAGGTCCGGCAATGAAACACCCTGACACGGAGTCCCAGCTCAACCCTTAAATTCCTCACCATGGGGGAGATATATATTTAGTATATGTATACCCTCTCTAAAAAGAAAACTGTGTGCACATAAAAGGAAGACCTTCAGGAATTGCTAACCCAAGTCTGCTCCACCAGGCCCATGAACAAGAGATTTCAGCCCATACATGGCTATGGTGTGAACTCAGCAATTGCATGTTACACTGAACAGTGGGTGTCCTTAATACAAATGCATATAATTAGGAGCTAAATCTTTGTACCTTTACAGGACAAAGGATATAATAAGCAGGATGTACAACTGTGACTTCTGAGGAAAGGAGAGCTTTTCATTTTTCCTTAAAAGAATCTGTTTTTCAGGAGGCAAAGAGAATCTGAGAACAAGAGTCTTTTGAAATGGAAGCAGGGAGGAGGGCGCAGAATATGAGTTTTGTGTGTTATAGTCATAATCTATCACCCAGGCCTGAGAGGCATCAATTCTGCGCCATACCATGACCTTTAGTCAACTTTAATTTAAAGGTTTTCACAATCTCATTTTCTTTCGTGGAAACGTTTTCATTGCCAGTGGTCTGATAACTGAGTTCCTTAAGTCTCAAGAGTTTGTCTGTGAAGAGAAACAGTCTCTAGTGGTACTTTCCATTGCCAACACACATGGACATTTAGCACAAATAAGCTGCCATTTGTGAGAAGTCCACTTGACATCATTCCCTCGTGCATCCTAAAGACACATGTCAAGACCACACTAAGATATTTAGAGGCAAACATCTTTAGAATAAAGTTTCATTCCCAACGTGCTTAATTAGCAGAAACACTATGCTAGAGAGCTGTCCTTGAATATGCATGCATTTTAACCTCCATGTTATTTTTTCTGAAGCACAAATTTTCCTCTCACTGGATGGTCAGGAAGTGATTAGGTACAGAAAACCAACTGTCTTAAGTGTCGATCCACAAAATGAGTTCCATCTTTCCAAGCAGGTTTCAGCTGTCTTACAGGGGGACATTCTAGTTTATGAGGGAGACCATGTGTAATGGCCTTTTCTCCATTCATTTTGGAGGAGCAATGCTCCTATGGCCTAGTTACAGCTGAACTCTTTCAACGCTTCCCACCAACCTCTTCTGCATCCCTTGCGCCTTCTTCCCATCCCCAGTTTCAGCCAACTATGTTTACAAGACATAGTAAATCACAATTCAGATGAAGCCATCCAATTGTTCAGCAGAAAGTGGCCTCTGGCGTTGCTCCATGTGAAGCCCATAGGCCAGAGTTACATATGCCAGGCTTGCAAATGCGAACAGGATATGATTTATTTACGACGACCATGTGTGTTTGATGCCCAGTTCCAGCAGGCTGTGGCTTCACTCGCCTGCCTCAGTCTGGGATGACCTATCTACTTGCTGTGTCCCATTTCAGGTACTGTATGTTCACGCTGGGGAAACAGAGGTGGGCGACCGGCTGGGGGGCTGCACACACAGATGCCCCTAACCCTGCTCACACATAACAACTTGTCACCCAACACAAAGTGGGCCAAATGTAACTTGCTGCAGAGGCTTGCCATGTACAATGGTTTTCAGCAGAGAGTGGAGAAGTAGCTGCTCGAATGACTGCCCATGTGGGGGTCATTAAACTGCTGTGTATTCACCCACAAGGAAGGCTGGGATGCTTGTGAAGGGAGCCCCCATCCTCCCTTCAGAGATTTTGACCCCCCACCATTTGGCAATGATGCTCCAAAGGCGAACGGCAGATATGCATCAGAAGGTCCAAACGTGGACTCCAGCGGAAGTGCAGTAAACTTCTGCCTTCAACAGTCTTCCCCCTTACCCCCCAGTTGTATTTATACTTTGAGAGAAGTTAACATGAAGCAGTAGTCACCTGGGCGTGCTCAATTTTTGACAAGCCTTAGTCACTCTGTACCCAGCAGAACAATTCACGTTATAGTCGAAATCCTGTGAAGATTCTGCCACACATGCTAACACTAAAATGCCAGTAGCTTCACTTACCTTCTTTATTAAGCCTCATAACCTCCCTGCTTTTTCCACCCTCTTTTCCAGCCTCTTCTAAATCTACATCTGCAGATGAAAAAGAAAAGGAAAAAAGAAAATAAGGAAAAAAAGAGAGAAAAAGGGGGAAAAAAGCCAAAGTCAAGGGGGGGAGGGAGAGTGTTTATTTGCAAACAGATCGATATAAATACTGTATATGAAAATCTTTCAATAATTGACAATGCAACGTTTTCTCCCAAGTCCGGATTTCCATCTACCTGGCCCAGATAGGTACCAAAAAAACTATGCGAGCAGCAACAGAGTAGCCTTTTAAACAGATACACCGTGAGGCTGTGAAAGCCCACCCCGCGGGCTGCCACGGGGAGCCGGGCACAGACAGCCAGCCAGCCCTGGCAGCAGGGCCTCTCTCTGTGCACTGACGATCTGTCTCCGTGTGTATTTATTTCGAGAGAGAGGGAGAAGCATGGAGGACGCCGGGGGCCACTCTCTCTCTCACACACACACTTTTTCCCAGTGGCTCTAGGTGAATGGAAAGGTTACAGGATAATAAAAGGAGGAGGAGGCGGTGGGGTTCTTACTGTCGGAGCAGTGTAATTTGGCGGCGTCGATCCAGGAGGACCAGGGTTTGCCCAGAAACGCCTCCGGACTGGGCACTTTGCGATCCAGTGTCGCCATTGCTCTTCCTTCTTGTTGCTTTTTCCCTGTTCCTTCGGCAGCAGCAGCCGAGAGACACGGGATTCGAGAACGCTCCGACGTCATCTTCGGAACGTTCCGACATTGAGTGTTCTGAACCGGGAG